CTCACGGTCCATGATAGCAAGGGCCACAGCCTCATTCTGAACGCAACCAACCACGTGCTCGATGCGCCCCGCGTCGTGCAAGCTGTCGACGACGCCAAGACGACGCAGTCCCTCCGCCAACACGATGCCACGCGGCTCGTGCGCGTGGCAGCGACCGACGCACGTGCGGCGACCGCCGGTGTACCGTCGGCAGTCGCTAGTGCCGTCGCCCGCTTTGACGCTACGTACACGATCCAGGCTTCGGCGCAGAGTCTTCTCGTGCGTGATCATGACGCCAAGACGCTGTATTTGAAGAACATGGCATCGCCGTCGGTACTGCACCAGATTCCCTATGACGCTGAAGTGATGGACCGCGCGACGCTGCAGCTGTCCGAGGATGGCGCCCTCCTGACAAGCAACTCGTGGACCAACGTGATTCTGGGGTGGGTGTTTTTGCTGGTATGCATTGCGCTCTCGATCGCGTCGGCCCAAGCCTTCATGCGCCGCCAAGGCTACCACCACCTCCAGTTGATCCACAAGTAGTTGAATTGTTTGGTCCGACGACGAAGTGCATGTTGTGTCGTGTAATCTATGTCTAAGTGATGGCGTTCGTCTCTGCAGCTGCCGAGGTGCGCGAGTGGGTCGATGCGTCAAGACGGCGGCAGACAAGCGGGAGTGGCGTCCGCGGTCCAGTGTAGTCGTCGGCACGTACGTCTCTCTTTGGTACTAGTATGCAGCGAAAGGTGGGGACTGCGCAAGCTGGCGAGGTGTACCGCAAACAGAGCTGTGACCGAGAGCTGGTTGAGTGTAGTAAAAGGCTCGCGGGGTTGGTACTTGCGTGTAGCAACAAACGAGAGCCAATCGCTAGTCCTGGTGGATTCAGGCAAGAGTACATATATAACTATTGAATTGATGTACCCTTGCTTCACATGTCGGTCGACAAGCGTGTTCAAGTTATAGGACTCCATTTGCGACCAAGACTGTGCCCTCCCTGCACTCACAAGGGCACTGCATTTGGGCGCATTCATTCCCCGTTGCTTCTGTACTGTAGGACCGCTGGCTGGCGAGACGACTTGCCAGCGTCCAGAAGGTGGTCGTAGCCATATCAGGGTTCGGGGTTCCGGCTCGGTGCACCCCCGTCGTATTGTCGACACCACGAGCGTGCGTGTGCAGGACCGACGACGGCAGCCCGCTTGCGCTGCGATGCGGGAAGGCTGCTAGAGTGTGTACAGGTTGGCACCCATCGGACCGAGAGGCTATGGACATTAAAGATCGACCGCGAGGCACATGTGATTGGTCGCCAGTAGTGTCCATGTATCCATATCCGTGCGTCACGTGGAAGATTAGTTGGAGCGTTTTGCGGCTGTTGCGCGGTCATTTTTAAACGTAGCCTTCGGTGCGCACTCGGGCATGGCGTCGCCTTCGTACCTCGGAGACTTGCCTGCGAACGACCACGTCGCGGTCCTCGATACGCCGACGTCGGCGCCGCCGCAGGTAATCCGCGCGCACCACGACCGAGATGAAGTTGACACTGTAGCGGAAGCGGAAATGGCTCGTCTTTGGTGTGCTCGGCCTCGTGGTTGTCGGTGGTGCGATTGCAACGACCTTTGCTGTGCTCTACTCCAAGTCGCCGTCGTCGTCACCACCGGCGACGGCGTCGGACGCTGCGATCGGCGCGACGAACGACACGACCTTGCCGAGTGTCGACGGTGAGGACTTGCGCAAGACGCCGGCGGTGACCACCGTCGACGTCAACCCCAAGAGCGACCCGGAGAAGGCGACCATGGCCTTTACGATGCTCGCGATTGGCGACTGGGGCAGCACGACGGGCAAGGTCAGCGGCTCCAACGAGAACGCCGGCAGCTGCTGCGTCTTGTACAGCGACCGCGTCAACCCGAGCGAAGACCGGTTCAAAGTGGACTTTTGGTCCCAGAAGCACGTGGCCATGCTGCTCGGCAAGTCGGCGAACGAGCTCAAGCCCGTTCGGATCCTTGGCCATGGTGACAACATGTACTGGAACGGCGTCGGCTCCAAGGACGTGACGTACCGGTTCACCGAGACCTTTGAAAACGTCTACAACCAGCCGTCGCTCAAGGGCGTCAAGTGGCTCAATGTCGCGGGCAACCACGACATTGGCGGCTCGAGCTTTGTCTGCGGCGACAAGGACAACGAGTTTCGCGAGTGCACGAGCACGGCCGAGCTCTTGGCGTCGCTCGACGAGCGCTTCTCGCTGCAGCAAAAATACGTGAGCCCCGACCAGCAACGGTACCAATAGTTCCTGGTTCTCAATCAATTCTCAGCATGCGTGGACTAGCTGGGTTCTCAAGGACCACTACTACGTCGAGTCGTTCGAGAAGGACGGCGTCTCGGTCGACATCTTCAACATTGACACCAACCACGCCGACAGCCACGGCGCGCGCCAAGTGTGCTGCCAGTGCTTCGGCTACTCGATGAAGCTCAAGCTGCCGAGCAAGACGTGCGATAGCGTGCTGCCTGGCGATGCGCGCTGCGCGGGCGGCAACGCCGACATGTACAAGGCGTGCATGGACAAGATCGAGGCGTGGGCGCAGGACTCGTACACGCAGGCGGCGCGGGACCTCAAGGCGTCGACCGCCACCTTCAAGATCATCAACACGCACTACTCGCCGCACTACCACATGGGCGAGCCCAAGATGAAGGCGTGGTACAAGCTCTGCAAGGACTACGGCGTCAACGCGTGGTTCAACGGCCACACGCACGGCTTCAACCACGACATTGCAAACTGGGGCACGCACTTTTTTGAAAACGGCGGCGGCGGCGGCATCTACACCAAGTCGGCCAACGGCGCGACGACCGACTACGTCAAGAGGTACACCCGCCCTAGGATCACTGGACATCGTCTCAGCCCTCGTTCTCGACTAGTCAATGGATGGCCGGTGGCTTCCCGTACGGCTTTATGGAGCTCAGCTTCTCGGCCGACTGGCTCAAGGTCCAGTTTGCAACGTTTGACCAAGCGTGGCAGTTTGGCGGTAACGCACTCGAAAGCACGACGCAAGGCGGTGTCCGGCGCGGCCACTGCTGGTTCGTTCCGCACGCCAAGGCAGCGGCGCTCGGTGCGACCGGAGTCGAATGCAAGTCCTCGGTCAACGGCGCGATCGGTGCACCGCTCACCTAAGACGACGTTATCGTATTTTATGCTTGGTTGCTTGGTCTTGCGACAGGCGCGTCCGGTCTTTTCATCCCCGGAGCATCGCGCGCGACTGCGATACTTACGCTGTTACACGCTGTGCTCGTCGAAAGCCAGCGTACCCGTGGGGTTCCCAGGACCTTCCCAGCGACGTTCCCCATCGCCGTCGTCTGAGGGGCTCCTCGCACGCGCGTCGAAGTAGAGACATAGACAACGCTTCTTGACGTCCCACTGTCGGTAGCGTCTGCGTCGCGGGGATGCGACTGCTTCATGGAAACGGCAAAGTCAACGATCAAGCTAGACTTGATACTTTGAAGTGAGTTGAGACACACTTGGTAACTGCCAGAAAGGCCAGACCGGCGTCCATACAAACTTCAAGAGATGGCGATCTTGACGACCTGCGCATTACGCTGGGAGAGATGGCAGCAGGACAGAAGCGGCTGATTCGTGGACGCCGTCGCCTCGGGACAATGTCATTTTCCCATTTCGACCCGACGCCGCGGTCGACCTACAATTGAAGCATGACCATGTCCCCCGACGACTACCTCCAGGAGCCCACGGCGGTGCTCGACAGCAGCAAGCCCGCCTCGTCGGCTGGCCGGGTACGCCTGCATACGACTAGTAAATCTTGTGCATGGCCACGTTGTCTGATGCGCCAACCTTGTGTAGAAGAAGAAGATTATGATGGCCGTCGGCGGTGTCGTCGTCCTCGCCGTCGCTGCGACCGTGATTGCCGTTGTCGCCACCAAGAAGAGCGACGCGTCGACGTCGACGAGCGGCGACAAGGCGACGCCCAAGTCGACGCCGGTCGCAACGTCGGGCGACACGTCCATCGACACGTCCTTGGTCATGCCCAAGAACGAGACGGTCGACATGAAAAAGTTCAACCCGACGACCGACCCGGAATCGATGACGCCGGCGCTCACGATGCTGGCGATTGGCGATTGGGGCAGCTCGCCCGGCAAGGTCAGCGGCTCGGACGAGAACCCGGGCAGTTGCTGCATCGTGTATGGCAAGAAGACCAACCCGAGCGAAAACCGGTACAAGGTCGACTTTTGGTCGCAGAACCACGTGGCGGCCATGATGGCCATGTCGGCCAAAGAACTCAAGCCCGTGCGCGTCATTGGCCACGGCGACAACTTTTACTGGGACGGTCTCGGCGGCACCGACAAGGCATCGCGCTTCGCCAACACGTTCGAAGGTGTCTACAATGACCCGGCGCTCAAGGGTGTCAAGTGGGTCAACGTCCTCGGCAACCACGACATTGGTGGCGCCGCGTACCTCTGCGGCGCCGAGACGGCCGAGTTCATCAAGTGCAAGAGCGCGGACGAGCTCGTCAAGAACCTCAAGCTCCGCGCACAGTACCAGATGGAGTACAAGTCGCCGGACAACGACCGGTGGCTGCTCAAGGACTTTTACTACGTCGAGTCGGCGACTGCCGGTGGCGTCACCGTCGACATCTTCAACATTGACACCAACTACGCCGACAACCACGGCGCCATGCAGGTGTGCTGCCAGTGCTTTGGCTACGGCAATGACATTCCCGACTTCCCGCACTCCAAGTGCGAAGACGCGCAGCCTGGCCGCCCCGAGTGCGCAGGTGGCGACGTCGGCATGTACAACGCGTGCATGGACACGATCAACGGCTGGGGCAAGGACTCGCTCACGCAGCTTGACCGCGACCTCAAGGCGTCCAAGGCCAACTTCAAGATCATCAACACGCACTACTCGCCGCAGCACCACATGAGCCCGGACAAGCAAAAGGTCATCTTCCACATCGCCAAGGACAACAACGTGCAGCTCTTCATGAACGGCCACACGCACGCCTTCTCGCACGACACGACTGCGTGGGGCACGCATTTCATTGAGAACGGCGGCGGCGGTGGCATCTACACCAAGTCGGGTAACGCGCTCTCGAACGACTACGTCAAGAACGTCTGGGTCGCGGGCGGCAACCCGTACGGCTTTTTTGAGCTCAGCTTCTCCAAGGACTGGCTCAAAACGCAGTTCGTCACGTTCGACAAGAGCTGGAGCTTTGCCGGCAACAGCCTCGAAGGCACCAAGAAGGGTGGCATTGCGCGCGGTCATTGCTGGTACATTCCCAGCGCCGAGTACACGGCCAAGGGCGCACCTGGTATCGAGTGCAAGAGCTCGATCAACACACCGCTCGGTGCGCCCCTCGGCTAAGACGACTATCAGTTTTGCGCGACACTATACTATAAACACATTTCATGTCGATACTCTGATACTTTGATACAAAGCAAAACGGGTGGCACACAAAGACAGACACGAGAAATGCCGATGGAACGAGTCGACAAAACTTCGATGGAGTTGTTGTCATCGCCTAGTGCTCTAGCCTTCTACTCTTCTATACTTCTATCGAGGAATCTTTCGACTAAAATTCAAGACTGCGTCCTGTAGAAAAATCGCTTGCATGTCTCTTCCACGAGGCGCTCAGGACAACGCGTTTCGTCCAGCCCACCTTCGAGGCTTGGGGGAAGCTTGCCGTCGTGACCACCGATGCAGCACCCAGTCTTGGCGACGGCCTGCGTGCAAGCTGTAAGTGTGACGTCCCAACGATGGCGCCTGCCGGGGCTGCGGCTCGTCTGGCTCCCCCTACTGCTTCGACGCGCCCCACGGCAACCAATGCTGGGACAACTCGAGAAAGAAAGACGGCTGACTAATGGCCTATGTGCGTGGTGCGGACTTGACTACGCCAAGGACGATGTTGACATAGTAAATTTACGTACATCTCCCATGGACTCCAACTTAATAAAAACGTCAACGACACCTATAGGACATTGCAGTCAGTCCTTTGACGACAAAAGTGCATGAGTTTTTCGGTTAATGTGGTGAAAGTTATGGGTACGCATGGCTACGCCGGCGGTGGACTCGAGCGAGGCGACATCTGCAGCCAGACGCCAAGCTCGGGCTTTTGCACGATCCCACGCGCCTTTGGCTGCAACGGCGGCGCGTCCTCCGACCGCGACAGCACGCATTTCTGAAGGACAGCGACGAGCATGCAAGTGGCTTCGAGGACGGCGAAGCGCATGCCGACGCAGTTGCGCGGACCGCCCGAGAAGCTCATGAACCGATACGCTCGGTCTTTCGCGCCCACGTCACCATCCATGTGGTCAATGAGGTGTCGCTCGGGTTTGAAATCGAGGGCATCGTCGCCCCAGTTGCGCGTCGAGCGGTTGATGTACCAGATCGGAAGGTACACCATGGTGCCAGCCGGTAGGGTGTAGCCACTCAGAACGAGGTTCGTCTCGAGGTGGCGGCTCGTCACCGGCGTCGGTGGAAAGAGCCGCAGCGACTCGGTCAGCACCGCGTTCAAATACGGCAGCTGCTGGAGCAATTCGTACGTGATGGCACCCGACCGCCCCACCACGGTATCAATCTCGGCCACCGCCTTGGCTTGGACGTCCGGGTGGGTCGCCAGCAGGTACAGCGAGTACGCCATGCCGGTACTGGTCGTGTCGTAGCCGCCGAAGAAGAAGGCCAGCACATTGTCGGCCAGCGCGTCCGGCGTCATCGGGTCGTCCTCGGCGGCCGCGGCGTCCAGTAGCGCCTGGAGCAAGTCGGGGTGGGCATTCGTTGGCGAAGCAAGGCGCGCTGCGATGATGTCGCCGAGCTGGGTGCGGACAACACCGACTTCACGGCGGTATCGGCGATTGGCGGGCGTCGGAATCGAGTAAAAGTAACTCGTCGGTCGCAGCGGCGCCTCGAAGCAGCGCCGCGTTGTCTCGCTAAGCAGAAACTCAAAGGCCTCTGCGATCGGATGCGAGCTGTCGCGAAGAGCGTTGACGTTGAAGCCGAAGCCTGTGAGCGCAATTGTGTCGAGCGCCGAGAGCTGCAGTACGCGGTAGACGTCAGCGCTCGACGCAGCGAGAAGCACGCTCGCTGCCTCGGCCGCGACCTTGGCCATGGCCGGAACCATCGCGGCGAGGTACTCCCAATGGAATGCCCGCGCAAAGATGCGGCGATGCACTTTCCACTCGTCGTGCATAAGCACCGGCAACGAGTTGTACCCGAGGAGCTCGCGAATGTGCTTTTGGATGAGCGGCATGGGCTTGCGGTAGCTGGACGAGCACACGACGGCGCGGACGTGCTCGGCCTTGGTGACAGCGACCACGCGCATGCTCATGAGTCGGAACGAGACCATGCCATCGGCGTTGGCCGCGTCGACGAAGATCCGGGCACTTGCCTCGAGCTTGCCCATGTGCTTGGCGACGCCAAGGAACGGCGCGTGGAGGTTCTGCGGGAAGGCGAGGCCTGCTACGAACGGCTCGTTGCGGCCGTACCGGTGGAAGAGGTACGCGATCGCAAGCGCAGCGAGCGCAACGCCCACGGAGGCGGTCGTGACGAGGTCGGGCATCGCGTTGCGATTGTGGTCAGGCGATCGAAAATTCGAATTGGCTCCTGCGCGGGGATTGGTCGACAATGAACGAATCAAAGCGCTCCAATCTGGATTTCAGAAGCAGATACGCCGTGTATCGGCCAATCACAGCGAGCGAAAGCGTATCCAGCAATCCCATGCAAACACGTCCTCTACAGCACGACCGTGCCAGCTCGAGACGTAGATTTACAACCTGTTGGCAGCGATGGCTGTGGTTATTATCTAGCCATATAATATCCTGGCTAGTGAGCCTGGTTAGACCTGAAGAGCCCGGCAACGAACACTGTAGCATTCGCACATGCACGGTCTTCCTCGTCATGATTCCCGCCAAGAAGGCAGTTGACGCCGTTCACGGCATAGCACTCGGGATGCGTGCTCTGGGCGGCGAAGCGTACGATCATGAGCCTTCCCACGTACCAAGGAAGCGCCAGGGAGCTTCGATGGTGCCGGGCGGCGGTGTCGGCGGCGCCGTTGCATTGCACACTTCAAGTGAGACGATGTGGTTGACCCACTTGCCCGTGTAGGCGACGGAGCGATACCAGGTTGCGTTGGCGCCGCGGCGGTCAGCTTGGTCGTAGGTGATGAGGCTGACGTTGTACCTGAGCTTGATCGACTGGATGGAATCGCGAAAGGGGACGTTGGTGGTGCTGGCCTCGTTGGCGGCGAGCGTGTAGGCGCGGCCCTTGTAGTTGGGCCACTCGTACAAGGTGACGTCGGCGATGACGACATTGGTACCGAGCAGCAGCAAGAGAAGAGCGCTTACCAGTAGCAGTAGAGAGTTCATGGATGTAAAAAGATGCAATGAAGCTCGTGCTTAAGGAAGTGGTCGAGGGATGCACCGCCATTTTGGACGGCCGGCACTCATGACGCCACATTATCCGGATGATTGGCGAAATGGTGGACAGTTCACGTCGATACTAATAAGCCCGGGAATACGTCCCTTTTGGACAACAACATCCGTTATACATAATTTAGCACGCGATAGGATAGCACCGTCATGGCCAGCCATGGCGACGGTGCCGTGATGTTCGCGTCGAGCTCATTTCAGACCCGAGGTGGCAGAGACACTGCCGTACTCACAGTCAACCACATACCAGCTCTTGTGCCACCAACAGCGAGTCGCATCAAATACAAAAAAGAATTCTTCATGAAGATTTACGAGATCGGGGCGCCGATCGCACCGTTGATCGAGCTCTTGCACTCGATACCAGGCGCGCCCTTGGCCGTGTACGTCGAGCTCGGGATGAACCAGCAGTGGCCACGCTGGAGCCCACCGCGCTTGGTGCCCTCGAGGTTGTTGCCGGCAAACGACCACGTCTTGTCAAAGGTGACCCACTGCGCCTTGAGCCAGTCCTTGGAGAAGCTGAGCTCAAAAAAGCCATACGGGTAGCCAGCGCCGGCCCAGACGTTCTTGACGAAATCGTTCGAGAGCGCGTTGGCCGAGCTCGTGTAGATGCCGCCGCCGCCGCCGTTCTCAATAAAATGCGTGCCCCACAGCGACGTGTCATGCGAGAAGGCGTGCGTGTGGCCGTTCATAAAGAGCTGGACGTTCGTGTCCTTTGTGAGCTTGAAGAGCTCCTTCTGCTTGTCCGGGCTCATGTGGTGGTGCGGCGAGTAGTGTGTGTTGATGATCTTGAAGTCCGCCTTGGACGCGGCAATGTCCCGGGTCGCCTGCTTGATCGAGTCCTTGCCCCAGCCGTTGATCTCGTCAATGCACGCCTTGTACATGCCCATGTCACCGCCCGCGCAGTACTCGTCACCCGGCTGCGAGTCTTCGCACTTGGCCTGCGCCGCCGGGTTGTTCTGCGTGTAGCCAAAGCACTGGCAGCAAATCTGCATGCCACCGTGGTTGTCAGCGTAGTTGGTGTCCAAGTTGAAGACGTCGACGGTCACGCCACCGGCCGTGTAGCTATCGACGTAATAGTGGTCCTTGAGCAACCACCGGTCATTGTCGGGCGACTTGTAGCGCTGCTGGTACTTGAAACGCAGGTTGAGGTTCTCAACAGCCTCGGCCGCACTCCCGCACTTTGTATACTCGTTCTTCTCGGCGCCGCAGAGGAACATGGCGCCGCCAATGTCGTGGTTGCCCACCACGTTGAGCCACTTGATGCCCTTGAGCGCCGGGTCCGAGTACATGTCTTCAAAGGTGGTCGCAAACCGAAACTTGTCGTCGTTGCTGCCGCCGAGACCGTTCCAGTAAAAGTTGTCGCCGTGGCCAATGATGCGCACGGGCTTGAGCTCCTTGGCCGACTGCGCCATGAGCGTCGCCACGTAGCTCTGCGACCAAAAGTCGACCTTGTACCGGGCTTCGCTCGGGTTGGTCTTGGACTTGTACATCTTGCAGCAACTGCCCGGGTTGTCGTCCGACCCACTCTTCTTGTACGGCGTCGAGCCCCAATCGCCGACCGCGAGCATCGTGAACGTCGGCGTCATCGTCTCCGGGTCCGCCGTCGGGTTGGCCAAAAGCGGGTTGACCGTGGTCGCGTTCGTCTTGGGAATCAAGTCGGCGTCCGAGACCGTCGAGCCAGAAAGGCCGGGCGACGAGCCGTTCTTGGCCGGCGACGGGGTCGCGTTGCCATTCGGCTTGTCCGACGACGTCGACGCATCGTCCTTCTTGGTCGCGACGACCGCAACGACCGTGGCGACAGCGGCGACGACGACGACACCGCCGACGATCATAAAGATCTTCTTCTAGAGAGGGCATGAGATGGCAAACGTATGGTCAAGCGTACTACCTTGCTGCTGGCTGGCGCCCCCGACTCGGTCATATCTGTTCTTATTCTTGGCTGGAAAAGGCAAAGTGAGCTGCTGCTAGAAGCAGACCACACGGCACCGGCGTTGAAATGGCTGCGCAAAAATTCGGCGCCACTGTCACCGTATGTGTTTAAACGCGTTTTACCCGTGGTAATATGCGACGGAGGACTGAGCGTCCATGCGCCATCCCAACCAAAAGCAGTGCGCGTGTACTACCTCGCCCGTCAATTCCTCGCCCGTCAGTGGCGTTTTGCAGAGGCATGACCGCATCGGTTCCCACCCAGCCAACTCCAATACGCTCTTGGATACTAGGCAGAAATACTACAACATGACAACGACCGCATTTCAAGACGTCCACAGCACTGGGACGACGCCTAAAAGGGAGTACTATCTACTGTGGCGTTTGCATCCAACGCAGCACGAGTCGAGTAGAAGTGATGTGTGATTTGAAGCTGCGGTATGTAGTACTAGTACTAGTACCAGATTTCATGCATGCCGTTCCTTTGGAACTGAGTCGAGCGTCGTCGGCCGTCAACAAGGTCGAAAGTACCGAATCAAGAAACATCGATGGCCTTCCCAGGCCAACAGACACGGATTGGCGGCGCAGAGAGCCGGGGCGTGCGACGTTGAATGCAAACGTTTTAACGCGTTTAAACATATGGCGTTTAACGTGGCTTTGTGCCGCAGGGAGAGGGATGCGCCAAGCTGCACCTGCGATCCTGGGTGGACTTGCCTGCGCCGGTCGTGACAGCAACGTCAATGCAGCCCACCCAACTCGACTCGGCATTTCGGATTTTCGCTCTGGACCACAATTGGACGGTTGGCTGCGGTGCACTTGAGCTGCTTGCGTTAGAGAGCAAGCACATGCATGTCCGTGGAGCACCAACCATTATAAAAGAGCTTGTAGCAGGACGATGGAAGGAAAGAGCTTGTAGCAGGACGATGGAAGGATCCATCAACGGTCGACGACAAGATGTGCGCTGGCGGTGCACCCGGGCGCCACCACGCATGGAAAGGCGGGGACAAAGACACTTCGTGCATCCGCTTGCAGCCAGAAGCGAAAGAAGCCACGTTCTCTGACTCTGGTCGGCACTGCTATTGGCACCCTGCTGCAATGTGGCACGCGTCAACGAGCTCGATGCGGATCCTTTGCCCAAGCTCTCGTCCAACTTCAAGGTCGTACGACTCTATAGCTGTACCCAACATGCTCAAACGCGTCTCCCAACGATCACTCAGCAGCCTAACCGTCCATTTCGTGTCCACGCAAGCCGTCGCTTGCAGTTGTCGCTTGCTGATCCGATATGATGTGCGCCCCTGGCTGCGTTGTCTGTGCGTCGTCTTGGCTCCAATCAAGCATCCAAGGTGCTATGGATGGTGAACCTGGGCGCTAAGGGCTCTGGACAGGACCTCTTCTGGTACCGCTTTGCGCTCTCGGTGCACGGGACCAGATTGCATGGTCGCAGTTTGCACTGCAACCGGCAGCATCGATCACGACATGGCAGCGCACATCACGTTCCAGTGGACAGGGGACTGCGTAAAAAGACCTCATCATACTTCAAGTTAACCGACATGGGTGTACCCTTGGCGGTTGCTTTCTCGCAGCAACGCTACGCCGATGACGCTGACGGCGCCGATGCTGGCACCGACAACAACAACGATCGTGGGAATCGAACCGCGGAACGTTGGCGGCGCCAACTGCGTCGAGCGCGAGTCGAACGCCTTGTCCAAGTGCGACCGGTTCGGAATGTACTTGGAGTGTGTCGTAGACGCCACGAGCGCGTCCGTGACGTCATCAACCCAGCGCCCAAACGTCACGGCGAGTGCTCGTCGCTTGGCGCCAGGAGCAAAGTCGATGCGACTCAAGTCGACCATGCGCAAGTTGAGGTTTTGCGTCGACTGAAAGTAGAGCTTCCGGCGCGCATGGTCGCGCACAAGAGCAAACTCGGTGCCGCCGCCGTTGTCGCCCGCCAGCGGCGTCTGCACCGTGCCTAGAAAGTGCACGGCCGAGGCGACGGCCGCCTGCTCGCTCGACGCCGCGCCGTAGCTCGTCGTTGGGTCGTACACGCGGTCTCGGTGGCGGTTGAGCATCGAGAGACGCACAAAACGCTCGGTCGAGCCATAGCCCGACGGCAATGACGTGGCGCTCGCAAGCGCCGCCAACTGGTCCAGCAGCGGCGGGTCGTTGGTGAGTACGCCGTTCGGGTTCTCATAGACGTGCAGCGTCTGGTTCAAGATCTCAAGCACGAGGCTGCGACCGGATGCGTCATGGACAGCGACGTGCAGCGGGTACGACTCAATCACCGGTGTCCCCGGCGCAAACATGATCAAGCGTGTCGGGTCGATCTCGGCCACTTGGATCGTCGCCAGCTTGGCGCGGACGTCGTCGACGGACGCGCAAGTACCGAGGAGGTGCGACACCACCGATGTGACGACAGGCCGAGGATCCATAGCGTCGGTTGTGCGATATGTGGTCGCGTCGAGCCACAGCCACGCTGCCGAGAGCCCAGCTTCGTTGAGTCCGTCCATGGCCACGTTGGCGCCGTATGCATTGACGCTGACAAAGCCGTATGTCGCGTCCCACGCGTAGCTGCTGCAGTTGTTGGCGCAATTCTGCGCCGGCGGCTCTCGGAGGCGGGTGCCCCGCGGTACGATCTCCAGGTGCGCATTCAAGTCGAGTGTAAAGTCCATCGTACGCGCCGAGATGGTCTCGTTCGTCCTGTTCAAGAGGAAGTCACTGCAGCCCTGTGCGGCTACGACGCTCAGCGCCACAAGCCACAGACCGTGCATCATCCTCACGTCTCCAATCGGCAAATGCGCTATGAGGCAATCCCCAAAACACCCTTCATTCCCATGCAGAGTGATCGTCTTCTCGCGCGTGATTGGCCACGGAGCGGATGCAGATACACCATGTTGACGCAGGTGGCCCACCCTTGCTAGCATTGCCATCATCTTGATGGTCCTAGCTCCTCGTCCAGCGTAGTCGCCTTGGCCATGTTCCACTCTCATGTCGTAGCTTCAGAGTACCTTCTTCTTATGTGACAGGTCCTGCCCCGTTCCCTCTGCTCTTTAAAGCTCTTCAATCACCAGGGCGGTAGGTCGTGGAGGAGCGCGTGCGACAGGCTTGGAGGGTGTTGGCTGCGACGAGGCGCATTCAACAGAGGCACGCTGTTGAAAAGCTCCGTGAGATCCGAACCAGAGGCTTCTTTCTACCACCGGCGACAACCACAGTCGTGCTTTTACCGCCGACCACGGGTGCGCCAGCGGCTGTCATGGTCGTCGCTGTCAAGTCCAAATTGCACACAAAACTGACGCTCGTTTTACGTGTATCTTAGTCTTAGGCCAAGTGCACGTACTCCTTGGTGTGGTGGTCGAGGCGGTGGCGGTACGCTCGGTAGCAGACGACGCCGAGCACCGCGCATGCGAGACCGACGACGGCGCCCATGAGGAAGCTCGCGACCGTGCGGTCCGGATGTACGTACGACGGCAGCGTATCCAGGTTGGCGTGCAGCTGTGCTGTCTGCTGCGCGAGGCCGTGGAGCTTGGCGATGACCATCGACCGCGGCGGCATGTCGATCGAGCGGACACTGGACGCGAGCGCGTCCTGCGTCACGTCTACAAACCACTTGCCAAAGGTCACGGGCAGCGACTTGCGCGTCGACGGATCGTTAAAGTCAATCTGTCCAAAGTCGATGGTGCGAAGCACTTGGTTCTCGGTCGACTTGAAGTGCAGCTTCTTGCGCGTGTGGTCGCGGACGACAGAGTACTGCGTGGCGTCGCCATGGGCCTGCGCTGGCTCTGGGATCGTGACCGTGTCGATGAGGTGCAGCGCCAGCGAGACGTCGGCCTGCTCGGACGTCGACGCCGAGTAGCTCGTGTTGGCATTGTACGGTTGCGTGGCAAAGTGGTTGAGCACCGAGAGCCGCTGGAAGCGCGCAATCGAGTCGTATCCGCCCGGCACGGTGTCGACGCCGTTGGCCTTGAGCGTCGCGAGATGCGTTGGCAGCGGCGGCGCGTTGGTCATGACGCCGTTCGGGTTGTCGTACAGGTGCATGGTTCCGTTGAGGAACTCGATCACGAGGCTCGCACCCGCGGCGTCGTGCACGGCCACATGCAGCGGGTACGACGACTCGCGGGCGCCGTGCGAGAAGAGCGAGCCGAGCACCGGGTCAAACTCGGCGACTTGGACGTCGCGCAAGCCGCGGCGGACGTCGATGACGCTGGCAAAGTTACCGAGGATGTACGTGATCAAGGACGTGACGACGGGGCGCGGGTCGGATGCGTTCACAACCGGGTACTGGGTACCGACGAGGTACAGCCACGCCGCCGAGAGCCCGGCTTCGTTCAGCCCGTCTGTGGCCACGTTGACGCCAAACATGTTGAAGCCGACGTAGCCATACGACGTCGTCCAGGCGTAGTCGGCGCAGTCGGGGCAATCTTTGACGATGGGCTCTTCGACAAGTGTGCCACGTGGAATGATCTCGACGGTACTGTCCAGGTCGATTTGGAAGTCCATCGTCCGCGCCGAGAGGACGCTGCGGTCCGAGTTGAGGCGGAACTCGCTGCAGCCGGCGACGACGGTCGCGACCAGGAGGACTGTCTTGAGCACCTGCATGTGAAGATTCAAATTGCAAACTGGCCCGAGCTTACGACCACAGCTGCAACGTGAAAAAGGTGGGGATCGCCAACACGCTAAATCCACGCCACTTTACAGGCCGTTGGCTCTGCACGAGCGAATTGTGATATTCATATTTGTATGAAGTGGCGTGGGAATAGTCATAGTTGCGTCTTTTAAGTATTTTGCACACGATGAAACGCCACGAGTGATATTTATGGCCCCCACGGGGTCCCGAAAAATAGGACGTTGGACCATGACCGCACGCGGCTTCAGGCAATTGCTGTCCTTTGACGCTGCGCTGAAGCTCCAAGCCAAGTATTTTAGAGCGAGATGTCAAGTCGTTAAAAAGGGTGGGAAGAGCTTGGGCCGAGAGGGGTCGAAAAATTTCTGTGGGTACACTGGGTCCCATTGAAAAATGGATATACCACATGTCGCAGATGGATTTGCACATCAGTCACGCAGGAAGATCGCCACCAAGATACCGTCGCCAAGTGCGGGATCGACGGACTGCGTCTGGCCTCGCATCTGAGCGTGCGACACGGTGCAGATCCACCGTGATAGCATCGAACGTCAAGGTTTGGCGGCCGCAACCGCTGCTTCGAGCAGGATAGGACAGGCGGCCCACTTCAACTTGCCAACGAGTGGTCAATACGACGCCGCACAGAACCAGCAAGCGACGGCCATGGCAACTTTGTGAAGCGATAAAAACGGAGACGTTTGCATCTGCAGAGAATGCACCCGTGGTGAGCGGTGATGACTCATGCACGGCCCCTTCCGACGCCAGAGTGGCGATCGTTCGATGCGTATAAGTACCTTTCGAGAAGGCTCCATCAACCCAGCTCGAGGGCGTTTGCGCCGGGATCCTTGATCTTGCCAGCCTCGCACGAGTGGTTGACAAACGAGTGGTGCACGGCTATCTTCTCTGGCGTGTGTGCCGCCATGTCAAAACGGTCTTTCATATACCCTCCCGAAGTCGATGGCACATTTATACTAGTAGAATATACTAGCTAATTGTACGCATCCAGCTACAAGCGACGAGGACAACTCTGTCTATGATTGAATCGACACGTACGTGTAGCGACGGTACTTGGCCACCACCGCATTTACGATCGCCATCATGGTCATGCCCACGATTGTGCCGAGGGCGAAGGTCAGCGCATGCGACTGGTCTGCAGCTGCATGCGTTGCAAGCTGCGTTTTGGCCGGCGCCGACCGAAGCGCAGCGACCACGAAGCTGCGCGGCGGCATGTCCTTCGAGTGGCCCGTCGCGGCGAGAAGGGCGTCCGTGACGTTGACAAACCAGTCGCCAAACGTCACGGGAATCGACTTGCGCAGGCCAGCGTTCGTTAAGTCGAGCGACCCGACGTCGACGAGGCGGAGCACTTGGTTCTGCGTCGCCTTGACATACAGCTTGCGCTGGACGTGGTCACGCACGACGGTAAACTGCGTGGACCCGCCTTGGCGCAAGGCGGCGACGGGGATCGTGACCGTGTCAATGAGATGCAGTGCGGCCGAGATGCTCGCCTGCTCGGGTGTCGACGCGTTGTAGCTCGTCGCTGCCAAGTACGGCTGTGCCACGACGTCGTTGAGTAGCGAGAGACGCAAGAAGCGCGACTCCGAGTCGTACCCGCCCGGGAGGCTAGCGTTCTTCTTCTCCATGTTGGCTAGCGACGCGAGGTGCGTTGGCAGCGGCGGCGCGTTGGTCATGACGCCGTTCGGGTTGTCATGCATATGCACGGTGCCGTTGAGGAACTCGACCACGAGGCTCTCACCCGCCGCATCGTGCACGGCAATGTGCAGCGGCAGCGACTGGAACCCCGAGTCTGTACCCAAGAGCTTGGACACGCCCGGGTGCGGCTCGGCGATTTGGATGCTGGCCAAGCCGGTCTTGACATCGGCGACAGTCGCGTAGTTGCCCAAAATGTACGTGATGACCGACGTCACAACGGGCCGCGGGTCCGTCATGTTGGGTGTCGGGTACGTGGTGCCGACGAGGTAGAGCCACGCCGCCGAGAGCCCGGCCTCGTTGAGTCCGTCCGTCGCGACGTTGAGGCTGAGCATGTTGAGGCCGACAAAGCCATACCGGTTGCGCCAGCCATAGTCGGCGCACGACGTGCAGTCTTTCGCCAGTGGCTCTTGGATGAGCGTCGCGCGCGGCACGATCTCAAGCGTGCTCTGCAGATCCAAGTTGAAGTCCATCGTCCGCGCCGAGACGACGACGCCGACCTTGTCCGAGTGCAGACGAACGTCGCTGCAGCTCATCGCTGCCAGCGGCAAGAGTGAAAGAAGCCACGACCGCATCGTCGACCGAGCGTGGAAAAGACAGAATGACGATGCCACGTGCACAAGCGACGCGCGTGATGAGTTCACGCGCGAGTTACGCCGTCATCGGAATGACGTGGCGTATTACGCTGCGGTCATCACACCCACCGCCATCTGCTTCCGCCGGCTCAGACGTCCTGTCCGAATGACAAAAATGGAAATGGCACCAATTTGGTATCGACCTTGGTCCGCTGCGACAGCAGCAAGCAGTCGCATGAGCATCAAGGCGCCTTGGTACACGTGCACAAGATGCCGTCGTGTGCGCGCGGCGCAGGCGCCATAGACAAGCCCGCCGGTCCTCGCGCCAGGCACGCGTTGCTGTCTCTCTGCTTCAAGACGACATGCTCTCTTGAGCTATGTACGTCGTCCTAGGGACTAATACCTGTGCTCTTACATGCACGATGGCGGGCGGCCTCGTTTTGGCTTGAAGCCCGCCCTCGAGCTTGTATATGTGGCATGTGCCATCTGTAGCCACATATAGTGTCCTTAATTCCGGCAACTGCACAGCGGCCAATTTCGAGTGAAAGGACGGACGATGGGCGTGTCGGACCTCCTTCCGAAGCTCAAGAGCATCATCTCCATGACGCACATTAGCAAGTACCTGCATGGACCATGGCCACGACACGCTCATCTCGGCGTAGGTACCGTGGCAAGCGCGCGGCCATCGACGCCTCGGGCTGGCTGTACAAAGGCGCGTACACGTGCGTGGTCGAGCTCGGTCTTGGCACGCTCGAGAGCGATCCTATCGGCGAGTACATTGAAGGCGAGGCGACCGCGCCGTACATCAGCTACTGCCTCGCGCGTCTCGAGCTGCTGCTGGAGCACGACATCACGCCGACCTTCGTCTTTGACGGGGCCACCGTGCCCGCCAAAGCGGCAACGAATCAAAAGCGCCGCGCGTACGTCTTGCGTTGCTGACGTCTCTCACGCCCCGTGTAGCACCCGCGAGACGTATCGACGACAAGGCGCCGAGCTCCACGCCGCCGGCGACTCGGGCGTACGTCGCGTATTCTTCTTACATGTGTCATCATGGGCACTTGAGTAGAAGAGCTTCTCGGCGTTCTGCCGGGCGCTGCACGTGACGCGGGCCATGGCGCGCAAGCTCTTCGTAACGCTGCGCGCCAAGTACCCGAACATACGATGCCTGGTCGCGCCGTACGAGGCCGACGCGCAGCTCGCCTTGCTCTCAAAAGAAAAGCTCGTCGACGTCGTCTTCTCCGAAGACAGCGACTGCATTCCGTATGGCTGCAAGACGGTACCGATAACGAGAGCCTCGCACGCCACGAGCTGCATTAGGTCTTCTTCAAGCTCGAAAACAACGGGTATGGGGAAGAGTTTCGGCGGCGATACATGGGCGCGAACGAAGACATGTCGTTCACGGGCTGGAGCGAAGACATGGTACGACCAAGTCCTCGTACATTGCGACCTGCGGTGCCATGGTCCCGTCGACGTACTAGTTCGTGCAGTTTTGCATCCTCGCTGGCTGCGACTATTGCCCGACACTCAAGGGCGTCGGGCCCGTCGCGGCCCACGCCCTCGTTGAGACCCACCGGACGCCAACGCGGGTGCTCGCCGAACGACGACAACGACGACGGTCTCATGCGGCGACGAGTAGATCCTCGCGGCGCTGCAAGCAACGTACAAGGACTTCTCAGCATCTTTCCGGCGAGCGTACCTCGAGGCCATCCTCACGTTTCGCCACCACTTGGTCTTTGATGAGACCCGTCAGGTGCGCACGTCCCATCGTCACAGGACTCTGCAAGCCCATGCATTCTTATAGAAGTGCCGCATGCTCAACCCGCTGAGTGCGTCAACTGAGGTCTTGGCGCTCCATGGCGGCAGCCTCTCGTGTCTTGGCCGCGTCGACCTGCCCGATGCGATTGTTGTTGGAATTGCGAACGGGTCGCTAAACCCAAACACGCACGCGCCCGAGCCAGTCGGCGCTCGCACCCGACCTCGCGGTGACCAAGAGGCGCCAGCGTCCAAGCGGGCCCGCGCTGTGTAGAATGCATGGACGTGAGTACGTTGGTGTTGCTTCATATTACAGGTTCGACGACTATTGCACTATCAGCACGACGAGTTGGCGCATGGCCGCGCCTCGTCTTCTTTTGTGGCCGACGTCGGCCTTCGGGACGGTATCGGCGTCACTTGGGTCGCGCTCATGACGGCGCCGAGGGCGTGGATCATCATGTCGCCAGCATCGACGCCGCCCCGACGCGTGGCGCGACGACCGGGCGGAAACGTGGCAAGCGCGGGGATGTGCTGGAGCAGTGCCAGCGTCGCATGCATCGAGTCGGTGAGGCCCTTCTTGGCGGGCGGGAGCGCCTCGAGCGCGCGCTTGCGCTTCATGACGGGCTTGGCGTAGTACGGTGTCGTCGTGGAAGGCGTCGTTGTCGGAGCAGTCGTCGTTGGGTACGAAGACATGGTCTTGGCTCGTCGGCGGCGGCGGACTCTGCCGAGCACGAAGAATAATGAGACCACGCTTTCGAACTTTACTCTCTCGCACTAAACTCAATCGGATCGATGAACCTCAATTGCGCACTCCTTCGATTTTCAGACATACGTTTTGCGACTGCAGGCTGAAACTCAAGCTCAATATCCGCTTCCGCTGCGCCAGAGAATACTGCAAGACAGGGTGAGTAACATGGACGTTGAAGCGTAACGGGGTGGCGACTGGCCGAGTGGGCTCGGTAGCCGCAGCGTCGCCAGCGTTCGACCACTGCACCGCTCCTGCCTCCTGGCAAGAAGATGCAGCTGCAGGCCGTTGGGCGAAGCGGTCGCCGACCTGGCGCCGACCTGGCGCCGACCACCACGCGCAGGAGCCCGACGACGACGGCGCTGGGACACATGCGCAGTGCCCAGAGGTAGCACTCGTGGCACCGATATACAGCGGTCGAATGCGAACGTCACGCGCCATGATACCACCGACCACTGACCACCGACCTCCGAACGTGAGGTGCACGTTACCACCGCCGGAGGCTCGCTGCATGATGTCGTCCCACTCCTACTTCAAGCTCGACGAGATGACACTGTGGCAACCTTCTCTGGTACGTCGCGTCTTGGCCATCATGGACCGTATCGACCTTGGCCCACACGGTCGCAAGGCCCGTCGGCTCAACTTGTTCCGAGCAACGACAGTCACCGGCCAGGCGACCAACTCGGTCGCAGCGCAGACTCTGCCCATGTGCGGGACAAGGATCCATGGCCCATGGCAGCGACCACGCGCTCTATCCCTTCTTCATGCCCATGCGGCAGCAACGTACTGGAGCCCATGTCTTCGGCGCCGAGCGGGCTCTTCTTTGAGAATCGCAGCACTAATGATGCAAGGCCTTGTGCCCAAGACCATCGGAACGTCGAACGCAAGCATGGTCCAAACCAATACAATGCATGTTATGCAACATCCATGAGCGTTCTCTACGACCAGCAGTACACCAGTGCACCAACAACAAATGGAAGAAGGGCCGGCGCGAGCGCGTTGGCAGCATTCTCGGGCGGTCCCGGGTGCACGTCGCCGTAGCACGGGATGGGCGTGCTTTTCATGACGCTTAGCGCATCCAGAAGCTCTTGGTTGGCCGCCTGCCACGAGTTGGTCTTCATGAGGCCGAACCGCGTCTTGCCGAGAATGGTCTTGCCGGCAGGCGGCGCCTCGAGGTACATCTCCATGTCCGGGTTCAGATTCGCGTAGAAGCCACCGCTGGTGTTGTGCACGATGAACTGCAAGATCGCATCAAAGGCCGCCGCCTGCTGCGGCTGCAACGACGGCACGTAGACGGCTGAGAAGCCGCTGAACACGATCGGGTGCGTGGCTGCGGCGACGACGCCGCCGAGGGCCGACTGGAGCATCGCGGCGACGTTCGCCTGGAGCTCGGGAATCGCCATCGGGACGTACGAAGCGCACGCAAACTTGGAGTTCTGGCATGAGAGCGCGCGTTTCGTGTTGGCCACCAACGAGCCATTCAAGAAGACCGAGCACGTCGTGTCTTCTTTGACCGGCGTCGTCGGGAGGTTGCTGCCGCAGCCCGCGGCCTTGGCATACAAGTACGCTTGTGGCAGCATGCCGTGCACGTGGGCCTGTGGCGCATAGACGACATTGGTGGCGCCTTGAAGCGGCCGGTCCGTTGCGTTCTGAAAGTTGCCGCCGTCCCAAAATGGAAACGTCTCATTGGCACGCGACGGGATGCTGAACGACTCGCCCTTCGCCGAGCTCGCGCCGGTCGTCAAGACCAGCCATTGCGGACAGAGCGCGTTGACTTTGGCCGCAATCACCTGCGCGGCCGACGCCCAGTCCGAGACGCTGCGCGCATCGCTCGCTGATTTCGCCCACGTGACGTCGGTCATGGCGTTCTTGAGGTCGATGCCGAGCACGTTCCAGTACGTGGCCTTGCAGTAGTTGGTCGCGAGCACGACCGCCGCCTTGTACGCGAGGCTCTCTTCGACCGTCGACGGCGCAGGGTAGTACCAGTACGCGTCGACGGCAAAGTTCTCGACGAGGTCGTGGACGTCGAGGACGATGCCAATGCGGTACTTTTGGAACGCACCAATGAGCCGCGCGACAAAGTCGGACGTGCGAGGTACAAAGCCCGGCGGGTACAGTGCAATCTCTTTGTTCTCGCCGTGCACGTAGCTGACCATGGGCGGCGTGTCCTTGACGACCGCGTCGGCCGTGAGCGGGAAGCGCACGACGTTGATCGACGCGTTGGCCATGAACTGCATCATGGCAGACAGCGACGTGCCCTTGATACCCGAGTCGATTTGGGTGAGGTTGGCACCCCAGAGACCCATGGGAATGCCTTGTTTCGGCAGCTCCATGCCGCTCCATGTGACGCCTTTGATGAAGAGCTCGGTCTTGGTAGATGGGTTGGCTGGGTCGACCGCGTAGATCTTGTTGCCGTCTGCAACGTAGTTGGTATGGCGGCAGACTACGTAGTTGGATGAGATGATGATGCGCCGTCGTCGCGTGGAGCAGCGTACCGCGGAAGGTCTGGCTTGTGGTCGGCTGCTGCGCAGTGGCAAGCCCTACCAGCGCGGTCGCGACGACGAGCGTGGTCTTCATCCGTTGTGTCTTGGACGACCAGATCGGAAATGGGATTGTGGAAGCCAGCGTGTCAGCTTCGAAATTTTCGCCGTCGCGGATTGGTGGATGCAGGATCCGTGAGCCAATGAAATGCAAGCAGGAGAAGCCTCCGTGTGCCACGTATTTTCTGATCGTCATCAAAAATTCACGCCCGCTCGTTGCCGGTCGAGAGAAGGGAAGAACTCAGGCCCTCCTTGGATAGCCTAGGAGCCACAGCGTATGTAGAAGAGAGCAGTTAACGCCAGCGAGGAAGCAGCGAGTGATGCTGGACGCTCAGTCCACGTCGGAATGCAACCTTGACGAGATTCCCACCAGCGAATAGAAAGGCCACGTGCACGTGCTTGTCCTGAGGCGACGAGATACAGGCAGCGACGTTGCCGACGAGAAGCATAGGCTCTGCGACTGGGCGCGATGTTCTTGGCGTCCGTGGTGCCGGGTTCCAAGGCCGCGGCTTTGGGATGACCGAGCACCAGGTTGGGAGGTTCAGTCAATGAGAGAAAGACACGCACATGGATGAAACTCGTACTATCTGCAGGAGGGGGATTGCAGCTGAACATCGTACAGCGTTCTCATGCGAGAAGACGCATCGTTTTGCAGCTCTACTCTAATTCTGGCATTCCAAGAGCTGCATATTTGGCCTCCTCGTGCTGCTTGAAGGTCGACTGAAAATGCGTCGAAGCGTCATTTCGCGACGCATCGAGCGTTGTACGGGCGTCGACTTGTACCTGGCTACAGTCTCGCATTTGTAGAGACGGTGTCTGCTAAAGAAGCAGCATCGTCTGCGCTTCAACGACTCCATGGCGGACGCCCGCAACATGAGCCCTGTCAGTCATTCGAAGAAGAAGAAGGCCGGGTGAAGGAGGAGAAAGCTCGAGAGAGGTTCGAGATATCTTTAGAAACGGCATCAGTGCAACCAAACAAAGCCAGAACCCACCGCGCATTCTAGCAACTATGCATACGCGGCCGCCACCAAGCATCATCGCGACAGCCAACGAGCGTCAATTAGAAAGCTCAGCGCTGTCCCAAGACCGTATGCAGTGATCTCACTTCCATTTACATTCACCTTTCTCCTGTAGAGCCCAATGGGCAACTCCTTGGACATCGCTGTATGCCAGTTCTGATCCTAGTCTTATAGTGGTGCGCTAGCTACCTTGGATATCTTGACGTACACTCAAGAAGCGATTCATGTTGCAGGCAAGGTTCTTCCCTGGGTTGAAGGCAAGGGTATTCCGTTGGTTGAAGGCGACATTCCACATGCAAGCGTTTGAATTTTAGCCAATCCGATTCCTTTCGCTTTCTTTTGAGCCAATCAAAGCGATTCCCTCGCAAGACAGTTCGTGGATACCAACAACGAGTCAAAGAGACAGCGCGTCGCTCATGCCAAGTGCCCTGAACT